GTTTGGCCCACACACACACCCGTCACGCACTCAAACACCGCAACGAGAGGGGGGCCGGTATCACGCACCATCGCACCATCACGCACCACTCCGGGTACCCATATCGAACCCGGCCAGTGGTCCGTGCTGGCCGATCGTGTGGTTGCCGCATCGTCGGGGTCGTCGGCCGTTGTGGGGTATATCGACGGGGTTGAAGTGCGCATCCTGGTCGATACGGGAGCATCGGCGACTATTATTTCGGAATTAATTTACAATATTCTCCCTGTCCGGAGTCGTCCCTTGATGCCGGTTAACATACCATTCTATGCGGCTAACGGGGGCTCACTTGGCATCATCGGACAAATTCGTGCCCAAATTTGTATCGGGGAAATAAAATTGTCTGGGCCGATTTTTGTTTCTTCCTCGCTGGCGGTTCCGTGCCTGCTGGGGACGGACTTCCTGGCCAAAATGCCGATTGTAATTTTGATCGACCAGGGTTGCATAGAGCTTCCGTCGGGCAGACGCATGGCGTTTCTGCCATCACCGGTTGCGACTCGGACGGCGTTCGCGACGGTGCCGGCGTTCGTGGAGAGAACGGTACGCGTCCCTCCGGGGACGCAAATGTTGGTACCCTTGAAACTTCGGCGGCCCCTCGTTAAGGGTGCTGGGGCACAAGGGGTACTGTTGGGACCGTCTAGGGCCGGGGTTAGTGGACCTGACTTACTTCCGGCCCAGACCATAGTGAGAGGGGATGGTGAACCCTTCATCGCGGTCCTAAATGTCGGCTCGCGGACGGTGGTGGTCCCACAGGGGACCGTGCTTGCTCACGCAACGCCGGTGCCGTGTGAGGAACCCGCCGTAAATCGCGTCAACACTGTCCCTGCGTCGCGACCGCATTCGGACAGCGATGAAGGGTGGCTCGAGGCGCTTTGTGCGGGATCGACGGACCTGTCCGATTCAGAGCGTCAACAACTTAAAACACTACTGCGAGAATTTTCCGACGTTTTTAGTCGAAATAAATATGATTTGGGTTGTACTCACTTGCTGCGTCACCATATTGACACGGGTGACAGCGCGCCAATTCGCCAAAATCCGTTTCGGTTGAGTCCCGCCGAAAAGGACCATGTCAAATCGGCTGTTGATGACATGTTGGCCGCAGACATCATTTCTCCTTCCACCAGCCCTTGGGGAGCGCCGATCGTCCTGGTTAAAAAGCAGGACGGTTCGTTGCAGTTTTGCGTTGACTTCCGGCGTCTTAATAAAATTTCGGTTGCCGACGCATACCCGCTCCCTCGGATGGATGAATCGCTTGACGCCTTGGCGGGAGCGCGATTCTTTTCCACACTCGATTTACTTTCGGGATTCTGGCAGCTTCCTCTGGATGATGAGTCAAAGCCTAAACTGCTTTTCGTACACCGCACGGCTTGTTTCAATTCAACCGGTTGCCGATGGGCTTACACTCAGTGCCGGCAACTTTCCAGCGTTTAATGGAATTGGTTTTGGCTGGACTGCAATGGGAGTCGTGCCTCATTTATTTGGATGACGTTATCGTCTTTGGTAAAACTTTTGATGAACATCTCCAGAGGTTGCGGGCGGTTTTCCTAAAGATGCGGGCTGCTAATTTGAAATTCAAGCCCCAAAAATGCCATTTGTTGCGTGATTCGGTGCGTTATTTGGGGCACATCGTGGGACGTTCAGGTATTGCTACCGATCCCGCCAAAACGCAGTGTGTCAGCTCCTGGCCGACTCCCACCTCGGTGGGAGAGGTCAGGAGTTTCATTGGGTTCGCGTCGTATTATCGACGGTTTGTTGCTGATTTTGCAACAATTGCTAAACCCCTGCACGCTTTAACATCTAAAGGGGTTCGGTTCCACTGGGGTCAAGAGGAGGAGGCTGCGTTCCGCTCCCTTCGGGACGCCCTGGTAAAAGCCCCTCCCTTGATTTACCCTGATTTTTCGAAGCCCTTTTTGCTCGACACCGATGCGAGCAACACGGGTATTGGGGGTGTGCTTTCCCAGGTGGTTGATGGCGTTGAACGGGTGGTCGCGTACGGTAGTCGGGTGTTGTCTCCTGCGGAGCAGAGATATTGTGTCACCCGTAGAGAACTGTTGGCAATTGTTTTTTTCATCCAACAGTATCGCCCATATCTGTACGGTCGGCATTTCACCGTCCGCACAGATCATGCGGCACTACAGTATGCCCTGCGAGTTCAACAACCATCGGGACAGTTGTCTCGATGGTTGGAGGTTCTCCAGGATTTTGATTTTGAGACCACCTACCGTAAGGGCGTTCGCCATACCAACGCGGACGCTCTGTCACGCATGCCAACCACCTCGGAATGTGCATGCCTCCTGGGGTCGGGACGTTGCAGACCTTCAGGGGACGCATCGGTTCCGATCCTGGCAGCCACCGACGACGACGAACCACTGCCTGATAATTCGATCGAACAACAGGGAAGGGATTCCCTGTTGGGGTTGCCCGTCACTGAGTGGGGGCGCCTCCAAATGGAGGATACCTCCCTCCTCGGGTGGCGTCGTCGCGTCGGGGGTGCTGGGCGGGTGAAAGGTGATTCAGGTGCATAGGAAATGGTACAGGGTCTGCTCATGCATTGGGACGGCAAATCACAGCGACATCGGCTGGTCGTCCCTTCTGAGTTGCGAGGCAAAGTGGTGTGGGCCGCGCATGAGCGCCTGTTACATCTGGGGACTCTAAAGAACCTTGCACTGATACAACTAGATTTTTTTTGGCCTGGTATGACAAAGGATGTTGGGGATCTTTTGAGTTCATGCCCGCGGTGTGCGCAACGGAAACCGCCGGCACGGGAGTCTAACCCGCCTTTACAATCAATCAAGGTGTCCAGAATAAATGAGCTTGTCGCGCTGGACATCTTGGGCCCATTTCCCGCCACCCCCAGGGGCAATAGGTATTTGCTGACAGGGGTCGAGTATTTTACGCGCTGGCCCATGGCCTGGCCCCTTGCCAACCAGTCGGCAGCAGCCATCGTGGACGCCTTTGTTCAGGGATACGTCCTGGACAAAGGTGCTCCGGAACGGCTGCTGACCGACCAGGGTAAAAATTTTTCCAGCAAATTACTTAAACAAGTCTGTGACCTCTTAGGCACAAAGAAAATTCGGACCTCCCCGTATCACCCACAGACTGACGGAATGGTCGAGCGCCTGCATCGCACCATTTCGTCAATGATGGCACAGCAGGTCTCAGATTCACAGACTGATTGGGACCTGCATATTCAGGGGGTCTTGGCGGCATACCGAATGGCACCCCATGCAGCTACGGGATTTTCCCCCTTTTACCTTATGTACGGTCGCGAACCCGACCCGCCTGTTCGCGCCCAGCTGCAGATCCCCGACCCGCAAGGAAAAACTAAATTGGCTGACCACGTCAAATTTAATCTGGCTAGATTAACAGAGGCGCGGGATGCTGCGAGGTTGAACTCGGACCTCCGTCAAAAGGCGAACGAGCGCCTCAGGCTGGGTCGGGCGCATGTAATACAGTGGAAACTGGGGGACAGGGCATGGTTGCACTGTCCCCAAGTGCCCCTGGCTACCTCCCCTAAGCTGGCGCGGCCGTGGCGGGGCCCTGTGGAAGTGGTCGAGGTCTTGCGACCACAGTGCGTGCGCATTCGATGGGGGAAGCGGCGATGGTTCGTGCACCCCTCTCGGTTGAAACCCTTCGTCGCGGTACACAAACCCACTTCACGCATGCGTGGCCAGACGTGTGGGGGGTCGACCGACTCACTAGGTCCGTCTCCACCGCGCTCACCTAATGCCTTGCCGGCCGTGCCACCTCCAGGTGCATCGAGACTGACGGGCTCACGCCCGACCACCCCTTCTGGGGATACCAACAGTCACGCGGCATCAGAGGAGGTCTCACTCCGGGACGGACGATTACCACCTGACGGTCCGCCACCCGGGGTTTCCCCGTGTGAGGGGCCCGCCGCAAGGACACGCGCAAAAATGCGCAGACTGTTGTGAAACCGCAAGATGTGTATATATGTTGTGTTCATTGTGTGTTGGGTGGGGGGGTGTGTTCCCTGCCCATTGAAATTACTTACGTTGTGCTCACCTGCTGTTATGTGTATGGTGGCTTCCCTGCAAATTGTATATAGCTTGTTTCTTACGGAATTCGTATTTATTCAAGGGGGGGTGCGTCGGGTTGTTTTCTCTTCTTGCTGTTGCATTTTTTTTGTTGTGTTCTTGTTGCCGTTCTTGTTATTGTTGAAAATTAGTGAGGCACACGCGCGGTTACGGTAAAAATTCATTTTTATTGTCATTCTGTATGTTGGCAGCCGGGACGGCTGCGAGCTATGTAGGGGGGAGTGATGTAGGGATGTTAGAGAGAGGGCCGTTATGTATGGCAGTCTATGGGAAAGAAACACAGTGGGCGGGGCTACGTGTGTGCACAGGGAGATGCCCTCTGCGACGTCCGAGCCAGACACCCTGGGGGGGGCTGGTTTGGCGTTATGATCCCCCGGGGCCCCACCCCTCAAGGAGGGTTGGGTATAAAAGGGGACGTTATATGGGCTCGGGAGCAGTTATGTTATAGTTAACTAAGAAGACTGAAGACGTCTTAGATAGAGCCCTGGACTCCCCTCGTTCGATGTCCTTGTCAGGGCCGAACAGGACCGAGCCAGCGGCGTGGTCCCGAAAGCCAGAGCCGGTGCTCTTCTAAGAGCTGGTCTGGGACTCCGGGTACCGGCCCGACTTACCAGTGTCGGGCCAAGTAGCCTCCCCTAGCCCAGAAGTGGAGGACTGTGAGGCAGGCTAGGACTTAGCTAGGAAGTGCATCCTTAGCTAGTCGGGTGAGGGGGCCGATACCCCCTCCAGTGCTGTATGTCACATACGAGCTGTGTTGAATAAATATCCGTGTGCCTCCACCTCGGCGTCAAGTGTCTTCACCGGTACTTCACGTGTGTTGAACTTCTGTCATCACCGGTACGGAGTCGCCAACCGTTGCCGATTGGAGGGCGCGGGAGGCAAGAAACTGAACGCAACAACGAAAACTGAGTTCTCAAGAAATTTTTATTGAGACATTTTTCAACTGAGTACAGCGCTGTCGAGTTATAGCGGGGTGGGGTATAGTCGTGTGTAGCGCTGTGTGTAGTAGTATAGTGTAGTGTGTAGTGTATAGTGTAGTGTATAGTAGTGTATAGTGTAGTGTATAGTAGTGTATAGTGTAGTGTATAGTGTAGTGTATAGCGCTGTGTGTAGTAGTGTATAGTGTAGTGTATATAAGTGTATAGTGTAGTGTGGAGTAGTGTAGTGTAGTGTATAGCGCTGTGTATAGTGTAGTGTATATAAGTGTATAGTGTAGTGTGGAGTAGTGTAGTGTAGTGTATAGCGCTGTGTATAGTAGTGTATAGTGTAGTGTATATAAGTGTATAGTGTAGTGTATAGCGCTGTGTATAGTGTAGTGTATAGTAGTGTATAGCGCTGTGTGTAGTAGTATATAGTGTAGTGTGTGTAGTGTATAGTGTAGTGTATTTTATAGTGTAGTGTATAGCGCTGTGTATAGTGTAGTGTATAGTAGTGTATAGCGCTGTGTGTAGTAGTATATAGTGTAGTGTGTGTAGTGTATAGTGTAGTGTATAATAGTGGAGTGTGTGTAGTGTATAGTGTAGTGTATAGTGTAGTGTATAGTAGTGTAGTGTATAGTAGTGTAGTGTGTAGTAGTGTAGTGTATAGTAGTGTAGTGTATAGTGTAGTGTATAGTGTAGTGTATAGTAGTGTAGTGTATAGTGTAGTGTATAGTGTGTGTAGTGTATAGTGTAGTGTATAGTGTAGTGTATAGTAGTGTAGTGTATAGTAGTGTAGTGTACAGTAGTGTAGTGTATAGTGTAATGTATAGTAGTGTAGTGTATAGTGTAGTGTATAGTCTAGTATACTACATCGTGCGATGATCGCAAGCCGCAGGGTTTAGGACGACAGACTCAGCAACAACAACAGCAACAACAAGAACAACAATCAGCTCCAGTGGCTCTCGCCTCCCAACAATCGAGCAAGCGAGCGCCTTGCGGACACGCTGCGAGCCATCATCCTTCCTTCTTCTCGCCCTCCCCGTCCCCCTTGTTGTCCTGCCACACCCGGTAGTTCAGCGCGGCGGCGAAGCTCAACCACGCCAGGTAGGGCACCATGAGCATGGCGGCCGTCTTGTTGATGGGGTACCAGCTGACGGCGGTTGCCGCCGCCGTGCCAGAGAGCAACAGGATCTCGGCAAAAGCCTGCGCGGGGGACACAGCGGGGACACAGCGGGGACACAGCGGGGACGACAGGCGGGTCGGGCGACACAAAATTAAAACGATGCTTTACGCACACACACACACGTGGTGGTCACAACGCCGTAGTAAACAGTACTCTACGCTCGCACGGATGTTGACTGGGTGAGGCACGCCGATTGAGACCGAAGCATGGGAGACGATTACCCACAACCCCACAGCCAGAGAGAGAGAGAGAGAAGAACCATCGGCTCGGTTGTGATCACGTGACGCTCGGCAGACAAAGCGTATACTGTACGTACTACAGTATTATTCGTATTGCAAGACATCGCTCGTTTATCAAATTAATATTTACTCGCAATCCAAGGTTTTACTGTAGAGGTGTACGAGCGTGCATGTTGTGTTGTATATATATGTGTATAGAGGTGTGTAAGCGTGCATGTTGTCTTGTATATATGTGTGTATAGAGGTGTGTAAGCGTGCATGTTGTGTTGTATATATGTGTGTATAGAGGTGTGTAAGCGTGCATGTTGTCTTGTATATATGTGTGTATAGAGGTGTGTAAGCGTGCATGTTGTGTTGTATATATGTGTGTATAGAGGTGTGTAAGCGTGCATGTTGTCTTGTATATATGTGTGTATAGAGGTGTGTAAGCGTGCATGTTGTGTTGTATATATGTGTGTATAGAGGTGTGTATAGGTGTGTACGAGCGTGCGTGTCGTGTTGTACAGAGAGGAGTTGTATAAAGACGCGTGCAGAGGTGTGCATGCCTACCAAGCCCATGCGGTGAGCCTTGAAGAAGATCGGGGTCCACATCCAGTTGAGAGCCAGCTGCGCCCCGTAGAGGCCCAGCGGGGTCACGGCGTCGCTGGTGAAGCCCCCGAGGTCACGCCACACCAGGTACGACGCGTACCTGCCTCGCACGCACACACAACCACGCTAGTGACGCTGGTGACCCCGCCGCGTGACCCCGCCGCGTGACCCCGCAGCGTGACCCCGCAGCGTGACCCCGCAGTGTGACCCCGCAGTGTGACCCCGCCGTGTGACCCCGCTACGTGACCCCGCAGTGTGACCCCGCCGCGTGACCCCGCAGTGTGACCCCGCCGCGTGACCCCGAAGCGTGACCCCGCCGTGTGACCCCGCAGCGTGACCCCGAAGCGTGACCCCGCCGTGTGACCCCGCCGTGTGACCCCGCAGCGTGACCCCGCCGCGTGACCCCGCAGTGTGACCCCGCAGTGTGACCCCGCCGCGTGACCCCGCAGTGTGACCCCGCAGTGTGACCCCGCAGTGTGACCCCGCAGTGTGACCCCGCAGTGTGACCCCGCCGCGTGACCCCGCAGCGTGACCCCGCCGCGTGACCCCGCAGTGTGACCCCGCAGTGTGACCCCGCAGTGTGACCCCGCCGCGTGACCCCGCAGTGTGACCCCGCAGTGTGACCCCGCAGTGTGACTCCGCCGTGTGACCCCGCAGCGTGACCCCGCCGCGTGACTCCGCCGCGTGACTCCGCCACGTGACTCCGCCGCGTGACCCCGCAGCGTGACCCCGCAGCGTGACCCCGCAGCGTGACCCCGCAGTGTGACCCCGCAGTGTGACCCCGCCGTGTGACCCCGCTACGTGACCCCGCAGTGTGACCCCGCCGCGTGACCCCGCAGTGTGACCCCGCCGCGTGACCCCGAAGCGTGACCCCGCCGTGTGACCCCGCAGCGTGACCCCGAAGCGTGACCCCGCCGTGTGACCCCGCCGTGTGACCCCGCAGCGTGACCCCGCCGCGTGACCCCGCAGTGTGACCCCGCCGCGTGACCCCGCAGTGTGACCCCGCAGTGTGACCCCGCAGTGTGACCCCGCAGTGTGACCCCGCAGTGTGACCCCGCAGTGTGACCCCGCAGTGTGACTCCGCAGTGTGACCCCGCAGTGTGACCCCGCCGCGTGACCCCGCAGCGTGACCCCGCCGCGTGACCCCGCAGTGTGACCCCGCAGTGTGACCCCGCAGTGTGACCCCGCCGCGTGACCCCGCAGTGTGACCCCGCAGTGTGACCCCGCAGTGTGACTCCGCCGTGTGACCCCGCAGCGTGACCCCGCAGCGTGACCCCGCCGCGTGACTCCGCCGCGTGACTCCGCCGCGTGACCCCGCAGCGTGACCCCCGCAGCGTGACCCCGCAGCGTGACCCCGCCGCGTGACTCCGCCGCGTGACCCCGCAGCGTGACCCCCGCCGCGTGACCCCGCCGCGTGACTCCGCCGCGTGACCCCGCAGCGTGACCCCGCAGCGTGACCCCGCCGCGTGACCCCGCAGCGTGACCCTGCAGCGTGACCCCGCAGCGTGACCCCGCCGCGTGACTCCGCAGCGTGACCCCGCAGCGTGACCCCGCAGCGTGACCCCGCAGCGTGACCCCGCACCCGCAGCGTGACCCCGCAGCGTGACCCCGCAGCGTGACCCCGCAGCGTGACCCCGCAGCGTGACCCCGCAGCGTGACCCCGCCGCGTGACTCCGCAGTGTGACCCCGCCGCGTGACCCCGCAGCGTGACCCCGCCGCGTGACCCCGCAGCGTGACCCCGCAGCGTGACCCCACAGCGTGACCCCGCAGCGTGACCCCGCAGCGTGACCCCGCCGTGTGACCCCGCCGTGTGACCCCGCCGTGTGACCCTGAAGCATGACCCCGCCGTGTGACCCCACCGTGTGACCCCGCAGCGTGACCCCGCAGTGTGACCCCGCAGCGTGACCCCGCAGCGTGACCCCGCCGCGTGACCCCGCAGCGTGACCCCGAAGCGTGACCCCGCCGTGTGACCCCGCCGTGTGACCCCGCAGCGTGACCCCGCAGTGTGACCCCCGCCGTGTGACCCCCGAGTGACCCCGCAGTGTGACCTCGCCGTGTGACCCCCGAGTGACCCCGCAGTGTGACCCCGCCGTGTGACCCCGCAGTGTGACCCCGCAGTGTGACCCCGCAGCGTGACCCCGCCGTGTGACCCCCGAGTGACCCCGCAGTGTGACCCCGCCGTGTGACTCCGCAGCGTGACCCCGCAGCGTGACCCCACAGCGTGACCCCGCAGCGTGACCCCGCAGTGTGACCCCGCAGTGTGACCCCGCAGTGTGACCCCGCAGTGTGACCCCGCAGTGTGACCCCGCAGCGTGACCCCGCAGTGTGACCCCGCAGCGTGACCCCGCAGCGTGACCCCGCAGCGTGACCCCGCAGTGTGACCCCGCAGTGTGACCCCGCAGTGTGACCCCGCAGCGTGACCCCGCAGCGTGACCCCGCAGTGTGACCCCGCAGTGTGACCCTGCGGTTACGAGTTTGTAAGGAAATAAGGATGGGCTTCGTTTGCCCCTTTCTGGCACTGCAAGAGGTCACAGAACATCTTCTTGGTTCTTTCGGTAAAGTCACGTAGAAGGGAAACAATAAAATAATAAAAATAAAACTGAGGACGGCTGCTTGCGTTGTGGCCGAAACGTCGTGAGAATAATTTTATTATGTTTAATTTTTATTATTTTATTACTTCCCTTCTACGTGATGACTTTACCGAAAGAACCAAGAAGATGAATTCCTGCAGTCACGAAAGAAGCTTTACATCGAAAGTTTCCTCTTCTAGTTCCCACCAACGACTCACCCCATGCCGGTGTACAGCAGCGGCCACACCACGGGGAAGGCCCGGTTGGGCGGCCGCCACTCCGGCTTCTTGAGGCCTTCGTACCAGCCCTTGATCTCGCTGCGCGTGAGCACGCCGCCCGCAATGCCGCCCATGTGCGGCAGGAGGGTGGCGAACACGGGAGGCACCCACGCAGACCACGCCATCGTGGTCCCTGCGGCACACGGCATCACCACGTCATCGTCGCCACCGTCATCGCCACGACGTCAATATGGCGTCGCGATCACTGCCGCGTCATCGCCGCGACGTCATCGCCGCGTCATAGCCGCACCATCACGGCATCATCGCCATCGCCACGACGTCAGCACGGCATCGCAATCACTGCCTCGTCATCGCCGCGACGTCATCGCCGCACCATCACGGCATCATCGCCGCGTCATCGCCTCTTCACCACAGCACCATCACGTCATCACCACCATCGCCACGACGTCAGCACGGCATCGCAATCACTGCCTCGTCATCGCCGCGACGTCATCGCCACGTCATCGCCGCACCATCACGGCATCACCACCGTCATCGCCACGTCATCGCCATCGCCGCGACGACGTCAGCACGGCGTCGCAATCACTGCCGCGTCATCGCCGCGACGTCATCGCCGCACCATCACGGCATCATCGCCACGCCATCGCCGCGCCATCGCCGCGTCATCGCCACGTCATCACCATCGCCATGACGTCAGCACAGCGTCACAATCACTGCCGCGTCATCGCCACGTCATCGCCGCGTCATCATCACCATCGCCGCTTCACCACAGCACCATCACGGCATCATCATCACCATCGCCGCGACGTCAGCACGGCGTCGCAATTACTGTCGCGTCATCGCCGCGACGTCATTGCCGCTTCACCACGGCACGGATCCACCCAGCCACCACACACCGCCCACACACCCTTCACCGTGTTAGCCTTTACAACAATCACGGACGCGTCTGACAACCAGCTCATGTAAACCACGTGGACACGGTCTGCCTCCCACCACTCTTGATCCCCACCCCTCCCATCTGTACGTCTCCCTCTGTCACTCTAAACCGGCTCGATCCTCCCGTAGTAAACCACGTGACTGACGCGTGGCCAGCCCCACTCTGAATCCCACCTCTCTCCCCGCCCACCAAGAAAACCGACGCCGCTCCTCCTCCTCCTCGCAGCAGCAGCAGCAGCAAGAGCAGCAGCAGCAGCAACAGCAGCAGCAGCAACAGCAAGAGTAGCAGCAGCAGCAGCAACAGCAGCAGCAACAGCAGCAACAGCAGTAGCAGCAGCAGCACAGCAGCAACAGCCAGCAGCACAGCAGCAGCAAGCAGCAACAGCAGTAGCAGCAGCAGCAGCAACAGCAACAACAGCAGCAGCAACAACAGCAGTGAGGCCCTAGTCCGGCCTCGTCTGCCTCCCCATCCCCGTCTCTCCTGCCCCCTTTGATCCCGTCCCTCCGTTCCTTCGACCATCCTTCTCGCCATTCAGACGCTGTCTCCTCGACAGACCTGTTCTTCACCTGAGGACGGCTGCTTGCGTTGTGGCCGAAACGTCGTGAGAATTGTATTTTATTATGTTTTATTTTCATTATTTTATTATTTCCCTTCTACGTGACTTTACCGAAAGAACCAAGAAGATGCGTACGCGATTCCGTGCCCGAAGACAGAGGCAAGCATGGGTAGCATCCAGAAGTATCCAGCAGCATCCCAATTCCCCGGTGCGACGGACGCTACCCCGGGGTCAGCCGTACGACCGCTTGACCCCGCTCGCTCGAACCGCGTCGTGTCCAATTCGCGTTCCGCGTTGGAACAAAGATGCGTTCCCTCATTTGCTCGAATCGCATTCCCCCATTTTCCTCTGTCTCTCTCTCTTCTCTCCACGCACCATCGCATCCTTGACACTCTGCGGGCCCCTTTTCTTGCAGCGGTGCGCGCCGCGGGTGCAAGTTTCTCGCAATAATATTGAATCACTTCTTCCTTGGTTCTTTCGGTAAAATCACGTAAAAAGAAATTAATAAAATATTATTTATTAATTTAAAGCTTTCGTGACTGCAGGGATTCATCTTCTTGGTTCTTTCGGTAAAGTCACGTAGAAAGAAATGAATAAAATATTATTTTATTAATTAATTAAAATCACGTAGAAAGAAATTAATAAAATATTATTGTATTAATTAATAAAATATTATTTTATTATATTCTTTGTACGTGATTTTTTATGATTAAAATAATATTGTATTACTTCCCTTCTACGCGACTTTAACCGAAAGAACCAAGAAGATGAATCCCTGCAGTCACGAAAGCTTTAAATCGAAATTTAATCACTT